AACTATGTATCTTAACTAAAATATCTAAATCGAAGTCAAGTGTTCCCTTCTTCCTATTATCTGGGGTTCTTTAAGAGAGGCGTGAAGAAGCATTTTTGCAGGCCGGCGAGGTGAGGATGGTTGGTGTAGCAGTTTATAACTGCTGTACCAGATATCTTCGCGTTTGGACTTTATTACCACTTCACATCAGGTGGGGTAATCATTTGCCTACCTCTATATAAGAAAAAAAAGTCAAACTGAAACTCAAGATCAATTCGATTTTTATTTATTTTTAAAATACGAGTTTTAACCGCCAGATCTTTTCAAGTGCTCAAAAACTCATAGCGGGATTCAGAAGCCGTTGCCGTTGCTACTCACGGTAGCTTTGTGGAACTAAAAATATTTTATTGTTGTTTTTAAATAGTTTTTTTTTGTTTTTCAATGCAAGGTTTTACGGTACAGTAACTTCATCTTTGTCACTATTAATGTTTTCTTCTATGGAATTTCCAATAGGTAAGAAATTTTCATTAGCCAAAGTTGAACGACTATTACTCTTTAAATAACAAATATATCTTAAGTTTCGTTAAAAGTTAATGAAAAGCATTATTATCATGAATTTTTCCAGCTTTTAGAGGGGCACGACGACGACACAAAATAGCACTTTAAAGTTCAATATTTCGAAAACGGATCCCTAAATAGTAAACTAGTTTTAGGAACCCCTAAGTAATTTAAAAGGACCAGTGCATCTATACCGTTCAAACCTTGTTTTATTTGATGAGTGCTGTGCGTGAAGACAGTCAGTGCATTCGCCCGGATAGCGAAGGGTGCGGGTTCGAGTCCCGTGTGCTGCCTGGTCCGCGTGGATTTTTTCCAGTAATATTTCCTTTAAGTCAAAAAAATTCTAAAGTATGAACTGAGTTTTGCTACCTTTACAGTCTTCTATTGTTAATATTATAAACAGCAATTGACACCAAAGTTAGTCTTGGTTTAAACCTAATTATGTCTTTTTAGAAAACAAAGGGGAAAGCTACAATTTGAGTCCAGGTTTAACTTTAGTATACGTTTTGTAACAAGGCGGCTTCTGTTTATTTAAAGGCACATATTTAAATGACCATCAGAAAAATAGTATTTTTTTTATTCTTTATTAAGCCATACACATTAAATGTTAAGACGGCTAAAAAAAAATTCAATCCTCAAAAAATATATACAATTAGCAACCTAACCTTTAAGTTACCAGTTGTATTTTAAATGATCATTCATTATTTGTTTGAGGATTACTTATTCAAATGTTTCCTGTAAATAGCTTACTCGCGTGCCAGCAAGATATTATGGCCGTCTTCAAAAGGCGAATGTGACTCATTCATTTCCAAGTCCTACAGATCATCGAGCAACGCATGAGTGCTAGTGCTGAACTAGTGCTGAAGCTGAAACCGTGTCTACATAACTGTCTCGGCAGGCAATCACCACTTGTCAGCAGTGGCGGGGCAAGACCTAAATTTGATGTGGGCGAGACAGATTTCGCGAGGCCCTGTTCTGTGGCGACCTGAAGACGGATTTTATAAAATAATAAAAAAAAAGATATTCGCTTTTAAGCAATGCATAAAAATCTATGAGGCGCGAGGCCCCTTGTACCGCGAGGCCGTAGGCAGTGGCCCACGCCTTATGCCACCTCAGCTTGTCAGCTTGCCCTTTCCTTTTTAACAAAATTTGTTTTTATTTCACAGTTTCAAGGGACCGTAGACCTGAGTTTATTGTTAAAATTTCAACTCTATTCCTCTACGCGTTCCCGAGATAAAAGGCCTTGTGACAAACAGACGACAACAAAGTGATTCTATTAGGGTTCATTTCTTTTTGTTTGAAGTACGGAACCCTAAAAAATACTAGCTTAATCGCAAGTGAGTTTGTTTGTTACGCTTCACACATAAGAGACCTGAGAGAGGTACGACACAGCGTATTTCCCGCCCGAATTGGAGCGCCCGTCTCGGGAAGACTTCCACCTATCGTTCAACAACTCGCCACTTATAGAAAACCACAGTGAAATAACACTACCTCCACTGTATCTAACTGTCGGTTATACTGTTTCCGGTACAGCTTACCCCGACCACATCCCCTACCCCGTGGGGATATACAATGGCCTGTCATTGCTTAAGCCTCGATGACACGGGCCGAGTTTACAAGCTACAAGCCAGTGAGTTCGCTAACAGCTTGTGAACTCGTGTCATCGGCTTTTTACCATCTGCTACTCTATTATATGGGGCGAATTTACGAGCTACTAGCGAACTCGCTGGCTTGTAGCTTGTAAACTCGCCCCGTGCCATCGAGGCTTAAGCAATGACAGGCCATTGTATATGCCCACGGGGTAGGGGATGTGGTCGGGGTAAGCTGTACCGGAAACAGTATAACCGACAGTTAGATACAGTTAGGTATAGTGCAGGTAGTGTTATTTCACTGTTTTCTGTAAGTGGCGAGTTGTTGAACGAAAGGTGGAGGTTTTCCCGAGACGGGCGCTCCAATTCGTACCTCTCTCAGGTCTCTTATTGCTTGCCCGTGTCATCGAGGCTTTACAAACGGCGCGGGTGAAGATTACCATTGATGATGCACCTTGTTGGGGACAATTTGTACCTCCAATAGATTTCATTCTCTTCTTGGGAGTATTCACAAGAATTGAATCAGGGAACTTAGAATTGGTACTTATAAACAGATTAATATGCCCGATTACCGCGCTACGCACTTTTCGTTTTCCAGTTTTCCTCACCCAAAGGGTAAAAACATATTACTAAGACTCCACTGTCAGTCTATCTAAGTAATTAATTATACTAAAAACAGAATATAACAAATATTTAAGAGCTCACATACAACAAACGTGTTTATTGCACATTTGTACTCTATACATATTAATAACGGTAACAGTTAAGACTTTTGGAACATTCACAGAATATTTAATTGTATAATATTTATTTTAAAAACGATAATCAAATTATATTATTCAAAGGGGGATAATTTTCAGACGCGATTTTTTGCTGTTTTTTGCTTGATATTATAATAAAGTGTCTAGAGAATGTTGTAAGTATATAATAGTGGTAACGGTCGGTTTCAAACTGACTGTTGATGGAAGAAACCTTAGTTTTAATAATATGTAATATCCTTTACAATAACAATAACCACCTATAACGAAACTTTGGTTTTTATTTTAAAAGTAACAAATTGAAATAAGATATTGTGGAAAAGGAGCTGCGTTATAAAAAAATGATTTAAAACGGCATTTAAATGTTCTTAACTCAATGGGTTAAGACTAATCTTATAAGACGATTACAATAAAATAAATGATTTAGGTAGATACTGGTTTAATTACGCAACGCATTTGAACTTTTATTTATTTTTTGGTCACGTCCAACTTGATAACTAGTTTTCAGTATACAGATCAACAAATGTCCAGCTGTATTCATAGTTTATCGAGGATGTACGTAACGTTAATAAGCTCATATAGCATGTATTTAAGTAAGTGTTTAGTAGACCTCTATTATCTAATGAAGAAAAAACTCAATCTCTCATTATCTAATCGTCGAGCACTAAATTTTCCACGAATCCTCAAAATAACCTACTAACAACTTGCTTGAATTATGTAACACTTATAGGAACACTTCGCGAATGGGAATTTAATTTTGTATGGATATTTTTTTTACGATATTGTTTTATAATATTATTATCATCTACAATCACTTCACTTTCCGACAGACACTCGTTTGACCGTTTGACGTATTAAAGAAGATCAGCATGACGTCATAACATTAAAAAATATCACCAATTTTGTGGCCAGTTCCATTGGATCTGACATTATTACTGGCTGTGTTGTGCAAAACAAAAGACTGACACTAAAGACATAAATCATCCAGAACGAACAGTTGGAATCAGTTTTCAAGTAACTTTACGCCTTTACACGTCGCAAAACGAGTTTGTGAATTTTTTAACAAAGTACGTAGGCACTGTGTGTTTTTATCGAAGCTTGGCCGCGGAATGGTAGTTTCGTTCGTTCTCTGTCGGTTGGCTTGCCGCATTGAGTGGAGCGCGCGGGCGCGAGGGCGAGGCGAGGCGCGCGCGAGGGACCCGGAGCGGTGGGGCGGTGCAGTTCTTGTTTCCAAGCGTATGTAGCTAGTTAGTTTGCTAGCACAGTCGTTCGCCGTCCGTTCCCGAGAGAAAGAAACTAACACAACGACCGTGCGGACGACGCAAACGCTCAGGAATAATAATCACCACAAAGCATTGCTTGCTCGCCCCGAGAAAAAATGTGCGCGCCACATTAACCATCGTGTTCTAGTGATAATAATAACATTTTATATCGTATCAATATAATCTCACAGGTTAGTGAAACATTTAAGTAGATTCGGGATAAAATATCTACTCACACCGTCCGTGTCTAGAAAATAAAATTATGCAACGCTTTGCCATTAATGGCGGGCGCTGTGTGTCGTCTTGATGTAATTTAGTGTTCATTTGCGTCTTGTGCAAAACCAATAGGGTAAAAGGCTTTATTTCAAATGTTGCTCTGATTAAACAATTATAAAGATGTAATCTAATCACCAAGAAGATGTCAATACCCATACTATGTGATTTACTTTTATTAGGCAGGTACGCCATAAGTGACACAATAGAAGTTAAGATTCTACGTAGGCATCGGAACGGATGCTCTTATTACGATTGCCTTCGCTTTGATGAAAGTGTAAACCGAATGCACTGCCGCATAAACGTAACGTACGTTATAATGTAAGATTTATTGACACCTTTTTTTTCTTTTAATTTGATAGCTGCCCAAGTGGATTTGGACGATCGCCTTACGATCTATATAATTAAAAGATGATTTGGATAAGGTATGTTTCAATAAGAATAATTACTAAAGGGTATACATACTAATAAACTATATTACCTACGTGAATAGCATAATTATCTGATATCAAATTGTTGAAAAAAAATACCCAATATTGAAAGCTAATAAACTCTTTCTTTTCTGTGTCTACGTCACGTGATCATTTTTGTCCAATCAATACAATAACTAATACCAAAGTATAATAGGAACACTTAGATGAAATATCACAAATTTTAAATAATTTTATAAAAAAATATAAGAAAATAAATGTATGTTGTTCTATTTAGTTGCTGTGTCACTTTTAATGGCATTTGAGAAACTTCGCTTGAGATTGGTTTTGCGTAGGTTGGTAGTAGGTATTCATTGTCTGAACGGTGGCAGCGCTGATATAATTCCCCCTTCCGTGGTTGTGCGTTCACGTCCCACCGGGCGGGTCGCGTCGCCGCGCCGCCATTTTGTCGTTCATTTCGAAGACTGACTTGGCGTGAATGTGACGTGATATGCAAGATGAAAATATATTCCATACCTAGTATGAAGAAAGTGCACACGTGTTACTTAAAAAACAATTAACGACTAATTACAATTATAGATGTTATAGTTTATTGAATTTTGGCTGTGAATTAGCTATTTTACAAACTTAGATACGTTCGTGAGTTGTTTTTGTAAAGGTACCTACCTAGGTAGTAGGCACCCAATTTTGATTTATCACCTTGCTTTGGCAAATCAATTAATTTATGTTTTGATATTAATTGTTAATTGAGAAAGGTGAGTACTGCTCTTTTTATTTAAGCGAATTTAATTGTTTATAAGCGGAAATATTAACTTACCCTCTTTGGTATGGTAGATAGGTATAATCTGTCGTGTGACTCTTAAAACAATAGGTATCCGGCAATTTTACACCGGTGGACGTGCATGTTGGTTGTGAGATTAGATTAGTTTTGGCTTATACATAAAGGTATCAAACGACATTATTATACTTATTATAAAATTTTAAAAATATACCCGGTTTATTGCGATTTCTTTTTGTTTTTGCGTTCGTCAAATATTTTGTTCATCAATTTTTTTTAATGTTCTGATTCGGAAAAGTACAAGATTTCATGACCATACAGCCATCATGTTTTTTTTTCAAAAATACGTTTTTAATACGTCATTATTTTCTATAAAAATCTAAAATAACCCCTACACCGCAAACATTGACGCGTTTTATCTTTGTTATTTTTTGGTTGAATGACAAAAGAAAAAATAAGTGTCTATTGTTTTTTGCAAATCTAACTAATGGACTAAATATTATTTCGTTTATTTAACCCTTATTTCAAAATATTGTCGTTGGTTACAATATTAATAATTCTTAGGACAATAAATTGTCAGCACATTTACTATGACGAAAGCAGTAAAGATGGGGTCACACTAACAGGAAACGCCCAAAGTCCGAATCGTTGGTTGTCTCTTCAACAACACAACGTGTATTTCTATACCGGTATTCTACATTCTGTTTGACGTTAGGTCCTTTTTATACTTATAAGACATTTACTCAATAATGATTGCGTCCGTTCACCCGTGTTTCATATGGACCCGCGTATTCAATCTGTTCAATAAAGAAACTTTGTGATAACTTTTAAGTGTTGCTGACTGTATACATAAATGGAAGGAATCTATTTCATTCATCCATTGCAAATATCATACTTAAGCCGAATAATTATTTTTAATCAATCATATTTTTGCAAATATGTACTTGTGATGAAATGGCGTTAAACTATAATCATCATCAGAAGCTTATTTCATATTTCAGCACAAGGCTTGCAAATTAAAATAAAGAAATAGGTATTTTGTTCCAGAGAATAAAATATAATAAATATATTTTTTTGGGCTTTGACTGTTGAGCTTGGGTCAATGAAATGTTTAATTTATACTAAGTGAAAAAATATCTTTAAGTTATGGTGGAGCAGCAAAGTAGCACGGACTAATGTGTGGACACTTAACATGGCTATTCGTATTTGCTATTTGTCTACTTGACAGCTAGCTGGCAATGGTGTCGATTCCGGCATGATTCTCGAAATTTACATCGGTCGTTCCATTTTATTCTGTATAGAAAATGACAAGGATAAACTGTTGTCAAATTTAAGTTTATGTTTGGAGAATCATTTCTCCTTTTCATTGCTTAAAAATGACAATAGAGATATACTGCTGTCAAGTTTATATAAGGCAAATAAAAAAAGCCATGTGCGGTGCTAGCATTATGCCTATATACAGGGTGTCCCGTAAGTAATGGTCCAACCGTAAACCCTAGGTAGTTCACTCAATTGCCTACAACTAATTTAAACCGTTTTTTGAAATTCATTAGGGTTGCCAAAAAAAATGATAAAAGTTTTTTTTTTTCAATATTTCTGTCTTGAATTGGTTTTTTTAATAGCATTGATGCAAATATTAAAAATTTTCAAACTTTTTTTCACTAATATGTAGCTAGATTGATTTCCTATCAACTTGTTTATCACATTTGCATAATGACATTGTATTTCTCTCAAAAATATTGAAGTAACTTAACATTTTATTGCATTTTATTTGGATGACCTAAATTGAAAAGCTCCTAATGTAAAAAAAAAGTATGACACCAAAGTTTTCCATTATTTTAAAAACATGTGCATTAAGTAAGGTTTCAAAATTGGTATAAAACTTATGGTTAACTAGTAAAGTTGCAAACATAATACAATGAATCCGAAGAAGAGGCAAATATCTTAAAAAATATAATTAAATTTAATTAGTCTCTAGTTGTGCATTTTTTCATTATTAGGAATGTTTTAACGACACTACGCGCACAGTACACAAGATTAGTACTTTGATTATACTAGCCCTCGAATCGACGCACGCACACAGACAAATAATGTCATTTACACGGCCGCTAACCAATCTTGGCAAGACAAATCTACGCAGTGCCACGTCGCGCGCCGCCGAGACTGGTGTGAATTTGGACTTTACGAATTACCTATCGAATTTGGACTGTTTTTGTTTTTTATAGAGTTAACGACTTGGCGAGTCTATTGGACTCCGAAAATCTGTTTGTTTGGGGTTGTTGAATCTCCGAACTTTGCAATGCCTCGCAACGTGTACACACCTCGTGAATATGCTATGATGCATTACACCTATGGAAAAGCAAGAGGTAATGCCAGAAAAGCTGTAAGATTGTACCGAGAAAGGTACCCGAATTTGCGTCACCCTGACCACCGAATTTTTGCTTAGAGTGCATAACTCGCTACTTGATGGAAGGATTCTTGGCACTGGAGTTGGTGTCGGTGAAGGAAGACCACAGCAAGTCAATGACGAAATAATTTTGCAACAAGTACAAGAAGATGCATCAACGTCAGTTCGAACTATAGCACGACGTTCTGGAATACCTAGAGCATCGGTGCACAGGGTTTTAAAATGATACCGTTTGCACCCGTACCATCTACAACGTGTACAAGGAGGAGCAGAATGTGCATAGCTGTAGGCGGAAGGCAATTTGAGCATTTATTATAAAATTATAACGGTTTATTGCTTTTATTTCTAAAGACCTTATTTTACCCGTCGTTTACACAAATAAGTGCCATAAAAGCTAATATCAGTTTAATCATCATGTTGATTAAGGTAAATACATTCCTAATAATGTGAAATAACACAACTAAATACTAATTTAATTAATTTAGTTTTTTTTAGATATTCGCCTCTTCTTCGGATTCATTGTATTATGTTTGCAACTTTACTAGTTAACCATAAGTTTTATACCAATTTTGAAACCTTACTTAATGCACATGTTTTTAAAATAATGGAACACTTTGGTGTCATACTTTTTTTTTACATTAGGAGCTTTTCAATTTAGGTCATCCAAATAAAATGCAATAAAATGTTAAGTTACTTCAATATTTTTGAGAGAAATACAATGTCATTATGCAAATGTGATAAACAAGTTGATAGGAAATCAATCTAGCTACATATTAGTGAAAAAAAGTTTGAAAATTTTTAATATTTGCATCAATGCTATTAAAAAAACCAATTCAAGACAGAAATATTGAAAAAAAAAAACTTTTATCATTTTTTTTGGCAACCCTAATGAATTTCAAAAAACGGTTCAAATTAGTTGTAGGCAATTGAGTGAACTACCTAGGGTTTACGGTTGGACCATTACTTACGGGACACCCTGTATACATATATATATTTTAAAAGAACCAAATATACATACGTAACTGTTGGGAACTACATATTAGTCGTATTCAAATTCACAAGTGCGTGCACCTCAGGCTACGTCGGATGTCTTTTGCCATATATTTTTACGTGTTTCATTATGAGTAGGGTATTTGAAAAGTTTTAGGTAACGATCATAAGTTATTAACTAATGTTTATGGAGTCCATAAAAAGGATATTCATCATGTTATTGTGTATTTCAGTAAAAAAGCTAAATCAAAAAATCCATTTTCAAATTCGTTCCTCTGGACATTATGGCGTCTTACTGGTACGTGACCGTCTAACGACTGTCATTGAAACAATACAATGTAATGTCACTTTGAGTGGAAGTTTACAAACGTGTGACGTCATTTTAGTCTTAGCCAATCCCAGGTGTTTTCGATACGAATACGATATTGGTTCGTGCTAAGGGTACAGTTCTCTGATTTTTCGAAAGCTTGAGTAGTATTTTATTTACATAATGAAATCAACGTGTGTTTATATGCCTTTGTTTTCACCTAAGTGCTTCTCAGTCGCCGTACTAGTGCGGTCTCGGCCTCACGCCGTTATATTGGCGATAAATGGACCAATTTGCTATTACCAGTTAGTGTGACACCAGCCTTAATGTTTGCGCGTAGCCAACTGAAAGTTTGCAGAGTAACTAGATAACTTGTTTCTTATAAGAAATACTTTTGATAAAAATTGCAATAAAAGCTAATCTGTCCGCAAACTGAGTAATAAGTACATTTTAATTTTTTATGACAACAAAGCAATAATTTTTATATTTTGTGCAGTTTTTCTAAACTTATATGCAATCATATGTCACAGTATGATTTATAAATCCGTAATGTAGTTATTAAGGATCACCAGCGAATGATACATAGAATAATTGACGTAAAAATAACATTAATAAAAATTTCACAAAACAAGAAAATAAATTACATTTAATTTTCTTTCTACAGTTATATCTCTAGAGTTAATTATAAGTATATACCGGAACATAGTTATACGAAAGTGTGTGATTCACTACAATCTTACTCGGAATATAATTATAAAACGGTTCTAGTTTAGTCAAATAGGTTGAAGTTGTAGGAGTGTATTGTGGGAACTGCAGTGGAGGCGGAGGTGGGGGCTTCGCTGAGTTTGTGAACCTCGCATTTCTCTCGCTAGCTTAGTTTTTTGAATGTATTCGCTGGCGGACGCAGATGATTTTTACAGTGTCACTGGGGACCTTTAGCCGAGTAATGGCGAGTGCCTTTAGTGGTATTCCAGGTGGATGGCTTTTCCTCATGGGGGCACTCTCCTCTCTAGAGCCACTAGCTAGGGCACTCAAACCGGGGGGCCTCTGAGATTCTGACCTCGGCTTTAGTTTGTTGTGGTGGTTCACAAACACAACGAAGCTCCAGCCGCCGCAAACATCGTAGTCTCCTCCACTCCTCGAGAAGTTTCTGTCAGTGTTAAAAACAAAGTACTAATAGTAGGCATCTGTACTTAAAATGAATAGGGGTAGCGGTGTTTATAAAATAGAAAATGATATTTTTTATCTATTTACGCCTGACTAGGTTAGGTAG